AAAAGGACAAGGCGACAAAAGGACTGGAAAACAAAAAATCTTACCTTATCATTGACAAAAGGTGTGACTGGAAGTGCACCCGTGGCGATACACAACTTGTCATACTTCACCGCATCGGTTCTATCGCTGAGGAACAATTCCTGATATGAAAGTATTCAGAGAAATATTTCCTCAAAAATTTGAATAAACCTAAACAGAGAAGAACGGGAACGATCAGCAGACGCTGTAGTTATGGAGTACAATATTTTTAGGGGACAGACCGCACTACTTTCAAGGCAACGGGTACGAATGCTAGAGGCGGGCGGTTGTTACCAGCGTCATTGGCGCAAGGGCTGCGAGAGGCCGTTTGACCTCAACCGACTTGTCCCTTCCACCAGTGACGTTGGCAACAACCGCCCGCTCACAGCCATGCTACCCACTCCCTTCAAGGCACACTTTAGTTGAGGAGGGGCTCCTCACTGTGGATACGTGCTCATGCTGATGGAAGGCTGCCATTTGCAAAACATGCGTACTGCTTGAAATGAATGAGTAGCACAAACATGAGATTCATACCCCAGAAAGGGTACTTATTTGCCTACAGGAGTCGTACAGAATCTTAGTTTTTAGTTGGTTTCGCGCTTGTGGAGTAATTTTAGGTGGACCACGTTGATACTTTACAACAACAGAGAATCGGAAGTCGCCAAAGGAAAGCGCAAGTATAAATCTCGCAAAGTGGGAGAATGGGAGAGTCGATCGATTTCCATCTATTACTTTGACGAGCGTTCACCTATTCTTCCAATCAGGACACAACGTAACTGGAAGTATCCAATTCCAGGTAGTACTGGTCGCTAGGAGCTGTGGTCCTACCTGGCCAATAAGGGTCTTGTGGAATTGGGAAAATTCCCGCAAGCACGATAGAATTTTCTCCGGTTGTTAGCTTTTTCCGATTGTTCACTACATAACTGTTATTACCTAAAGGTGAATTAAGCGCTTATTAGTGATGACCTTCCCGTCCCCGTCCCCCCCCCGCCCACCACTAGTTTTATGGTCAAAACTGAAAATACCTCTGCATAACTGTAAAAAAATGGTAGGAAGTTAGGATTACACAGGAAGATGATAAGCAGAATGGGGAAGATAAAGTCGTATCATAAGAAGGATTCGGGGAGGGGGTGGGTGGATAAAGTTACAAGGCTGCAGAATTTTCAAGAAATCCACCAATAAACGGGAAGGTCGCCTATGTGCCACGTTCACGCCGTGGGCGCTTTGCGCAAGGTTGTCAAAAAAACCGCTTCACGGAAGACTGTCGCAGCTTCACACACCACGATGAGTGCGTACCCTGCTCCCTTCTCACCAGATCGATATCTACACTTTCTTTTGGCGCGCGTTCTCCCCATTTTCCTACTCTCGAAGTATGAACGCGGCCTAACGGTATTGAACACTAACTCACCTTATTTTTGTAGTCCCATCGTACAACTTCAGCTTGGATGAAGATGAAACGAGGATCATCCGACTCAATGTTGTCTTCTTTCACAACGAATTGCTCGCTATACTGGCCGACCTGAAACACTATAGCCATGAAGACGGTAAAAGTCGTGATCACTGGGCAAAAGGAGCTGGAGTCGTACTCAAATGTCTTACCATTCTCCATTTTGTCACTGTTTTCACCCGTTTACTAGCAGAGATCAAAATGATGTTATCATCACTGAGTAGTGATACCGAAAGACGTCTCATACAACACACACCAGCAATCCCACCACCTACGATCACGTAGTTCATTTTTGCACTTTCCACTGAAAATAATGTATTAATCTGATGATACAAAAAAACAGACACTTCTAGGGACGATCCACATACTTGCTTTGATTCATGGGATTGCACGGGTACCAAGCACTGGCAAGAAGCTCTCTTGTCTACTCAGCCTATAAAAAATAGTAGCAGTAGGTGAGACTTCGTTCCTGTCACAAACGATGGGAATGAGCGCGTATTGAAGGGAGCTCAGACTGGGTTCATACTTTGCGTCCGCTAGCGTCCACCAGCGACTTTATGGAGGATGGAGCGCAGTTCAGCGACGGCAGTACGTTGACGCAAAGTATGAAGCAGCCTTGCAGTGCTTATAATACACGGAACAAAGACGCTGGTACAGGAGAAGGAGGCATTTCGGTGCAAAAGTACGTAGGACTACGGTGGCTCTAACTTTGGGCTAATGCCGTTTGGACTCCAGCAATTTCGGCACCGAGCTCATTTTTAAATTGCCTAAGTCACCAAATCCGCTAAAAACTTGTATTTAGGGGTAGTTTAACATCCTGATTACGAATGTGACATTCACTCTTGCCGCTGGCGCTAATGGATGACACTACGATTATCTGCGCTCCGCTAAGGCTGAGCCCAAGAGGTAATCGTAGTGTCATCCCTTGGCGCCAGCGCTGTATCATAATTGTAATCACGATGGTAAATAACCCTTGTGTACATGTTTTCAGCGGGTTTGGTGACTTAGGCAATTTAAAAATGAGCTCGGTGCCGAAATTGCTGGAGTCCAAACGGCATTAGCCCTAACTTTGCACAAGGAGTTCTTTAAACCTACGAATATTGCCAGCCTTTTTTTGGTACTTGAAGATTATGAGTTAAGGTACAAATGAGGGTTTTCGTCCGAGCCGAAAAGATGGGACGCAGTTAGGCGGCGTGGGGGGAGGCGTGTTGCACTTTTGCTAGTTCCATCAACGTGTCGAGCCAGGTGGAGACCTGTGAAATCTTGTAAGCCACGAAACGATTCCCCGAGAAGTTGTAGAGGTCACCTGTCAACTCTTTGAAAGAGTACCTATCAATTGGGTAACGTGCTGGAAACACGGAACTAATTGAAGCGGCAAAAAGGGCAAAATGTTCACCCCCCCCCCCACCCCCTCCGATCGCCGGACTGTGCCGAAGATGGAGCTCCGCATGGGTTCAGCCAACCCTTTGTGCGAAAGAGGTTTTCGAACTATTGTATTGAAATGCACACCTATATTGGACTAGCACCAGTAAAATAATAGCCAAAACCTTGAGAGATAGGTGAAGCCCTGCAAATTCAACTAGAACAACATTTAAAAAGGCCATTCAAGTGATGGAATTGCACATCGGACCAAGGTGTCCCACAGGAAATCCAATGGAGGTTTCCTATAATCCAGCAATGATGCCAGCAGACTTATAGCTTAAAACCTTATTTTAAAATGGTCGCTAGTTCACGCGAGTAATTTCGCGCTCCACTGCTAAATCGTCCTTGGGCGCCAATATTGTTGTCTCTTTGAGTTCTGGCACGATGCCAATTTTTCGGCGTTGATTTCGAATGCTTGTGGTTAATTATTTCTTGGTACAGTTTTCTCTTTTACTTTTGGCTTTCTTTCCATTTGTTCATTTTCATGTATATCTAGGTGCTTTTTCTGTTGTTTTTGCTCGGAATTCCACGTTTTCGAAAAACTGCAAATGGCCGCAGAATTTCGGTGCAAAATGTTTATACTTATGTGCCCACTCTTTGTTAAGATGCGATGCGGAATTTCCATGAATTTCATCCTCTTTTCTGAAATTGAATGACTTCAAGTATTTCGTTTTGAAAACCCATTGTCGTTCAGCTTTTTGGTTACAATTTTTGCAGTGAATATTCTTTTGTTCTCGTCCTCTTTTTTTCTTTTTCTTTCCCTGACTGGAATTTTTTGAGTGAGGGTGTTCGCTCTGATTAAGTCACATTATGGTTTTGTTTCTGTCACGAATCAACGTTCAGCTCACCTTATCGTGAAATCGTTTCAGATCATGGATTATTTGCATACTGAAGGCGATCACTCAGGAGCTGGAGATGCTCCCAGAAGAACTTCTTTCGAGGTATTTACACTTCCAAATGCTTTGTTCTCTTTCTTATGTCTGCTGAAGTGTTGCGTAGTGTTTTTCCTGCGACGCTGCCACCTTCAAGTTCCGTCATATGTTTGCTATCTTTTTATTAGTTGATACATGCAATAAGGAGGTATGAAAGGAATCGAACATAAAGTAGCTGTCAGCTGTGCTAATCTCAACAGAAACACATTAAATGTATTAGGCGTTTTTTAATAGAAGGAATAGTGCACGATAAATGCTACTAGGCTACGAGCAAACGAGAAAATATCTCCCTCGTTAATGTAGAGAGAATGGATGGATATATGTGGAACCAAATTCAGCTCACTGTAAATCCCAGAACATCCAGTGCGAATGTTTTTGGTTTAGCGCGGAAATGGTTAACACATTTATTGCCGTGAAAAATCAAGTCATCGCAGGAGGACAGGGATCATAGCACGCCTCCTCGCAAACTTTCTTGAGCCCTGGATCTTGCCCGAACTCCATTGCGGTCGAGACATTCTTTGATACATTGCTCTTGTAGCTTTTTCGCCGCGAATGTGTAGAACGGCCATTAGGAAGAGGAAGATAAGTGAAGGAGTTCATCCCTTGAATCTGTTTGATCGATACTGGTCAAAACCTATGTGCTACGTCTATGTGCTTTTCAGCAAATGCCATCAGGATCACACCTAATCAGTAAGGAGCGTCCCGTCATTAGGTTTTCTCGATACTTTGGTTCTGTTTTGACATACAAATATGTTCGATTTTGAGCAGCGAAGTTCAAGCCCGACTGTTAGACAATAATCGGGTTCTTCGAATGTCTTGAGACAATTCAAAACCTCGAAACGTATCTGTTCTGCATTTTCGGTCCCTTTCAAAATAGTCGAGCGACTGCGGGGTCTGTTGAGAGTCAAACTAATATAGAGGAGGACCCCTTGAGGCGCTGAAAGGGCAGTGGCCGCTGAAGCATAGAAGGGTGTGAAAAACTTAGGGCGAAGGTGAGCCTAAAGTCAAGCTTTCTCGAATGACACCGCAGCTAACAAGCCACTCATTATGTGTGAGGTTAAAAAGGTTATGGAACAACATGTTGACGGAAAAGTGCAGATAAGAGGCGGGAAATAGAAACGATTGATGGGGTTGAATTGAATTAGTCTGTAGGGCTCGAGAGAGCCTCTAAAAGAAGCTGACCCTATTGCGATCATATGTAGATCGATTAGTGTTCAATTAGGAAAAAAAGATACTAATACAGCCGCAAGACGCTCCAAATTTTTAGCAATCCTGATGATATAGACGTCATTGTAGACGACTTTGGTATGGATAGTTGTAGTGCATAGAACTGGATGCGGAGGGCATGTCAAAGAAGGCGGACTGAATCCCAAAAGCTGCCGCGTTTTTACCAGTAGTGATATTGGGCGTCTCGCAACTATTGGCAGTAAACGAGGCCGTCAATGGGCTTCACGTTCCGCTATATCCAGCTTTATGCACTATATACCGTGTGTTCATCCGCCCTTTCTGTGAAATACCTGAAGACAGGAAGGCAAGGCTAGAGGTTGAAGAATTGAAAACTGGGGTCGTATTCGAGATCGGGTACCGTATAGATTTCACCCCGGAAAATCAGTCCAACGAAGAGCCACTAATTACATGCCTCGTGATGGCGATTTATCCTTGCCTTGAAACTAGACGGCTTTAGAAGCTTCTCAATATGGCTCGGATGCTGTTAGCTTTAGCGAGCTTATGAGTGTATTTTCAGAAACAGGACTCTTTTGCAACTGAGACGGTCGTTGAAACGTCTATAGAGCATCAAGGCGGCGGCGATAGCGCGGAAGTGGTTTTTGCCGCGGTTAGTAGTTCTTCATCAACCTCTCTTACCTAGTTGGTTTCTCCAAACATGTCACATCGTATGTTCCAGGAACAACAGGCAGAAACGGATTCTACTAATTCTAAAGAACATCGGCCTGCTGTGGTTTACGAAGAGCGGCAATCAGAAATAGATTCTCAGCAACGACAGCATGAAATGGAAACAACCGAAGCTGAGTCAGAAGCTGCTATTGAAGCATACGATGATAATACGGAAGAGATGGTTCGGTTTGGATTTAGTTTTGGGGCACAGTGTGGCGACGAGGGGGGAGAGCTTGCAATTTCGCTGCTTCACTAGTTCCGGTTTATAGATCAGATCTGTGAACTCTTGTGAAGCTGGGTAAGCTAATCGAGCCACCGTGGCAAGACCTATCACTCTTGTACTTTTGTAAGCTCATGAAGTAGCTCTATAGTTTAGTGAGAGTGAGTTTATAATGCTACACGCCGATGGGAAGTAGCAAAATGCCCCCCCCCTATCCTTGCCAAACTGCCCTGCATTTCGTTTCGTTTTATTGGCTTGACACGCAACGTATTCTAGACGACTATTTCTGCTGAACAGCAACCTGACGTTGAAAAGACAGAAAGTGAAGTACAAGAAGAAGATACTTCATCTGGAGGAGCCGACGAACCCGGAACCCTAAGCGGTTCTGTTGAAGACGTTGAAAAAACAACTTACGTAACGGGAGAAACTGGAGATACATTCAAAGAAGAGCACAGAACGAGTTACACCGTCGAGGAACGAAAAGGCGGTGATGTCATGAAAGAGCACGTTGTGGTCACTGTTGTGTCTACCGAGTATATCTCCCATGAGGAGCGTGAGGTGAAGGACACTAAGAAGGTAAATGTCCTTTCAACTTCGTATTCCTTTATATTTCCACTTATTACCTGTGATGGAATTTACTGGTATTAGCTCTTTTTCCTTATCACCTAACTCTCACCATTCGAAATGTAGGGAGCCAGTGAACGGGACAACCGCACCAT